AAAACAATGGAAAAAAATCAATAAAACTATTGAAAAGTTGTTTTTTTTTTAAAAGATAAACAAAGTCAACAAACTCTTAGCTAGACTAAGAAAAAAATGAGAGAAGACTAAGGTAAATAAACCAGGGATTGAAGAGACATTACAACTGATACCACAGAAATAAAAAAGATCATAAGCGACTATTATGAACAATTATATACCAAAAAATTGGACAACCTAGAAGAAATGGATGAGTTTGTAGAAACATACAACCCAACAAAACTGAATTAAGAAGAAATAGAAAGCTTGAACAGATCGATAACAAATATGGAGATTGAATTTGTAATCAGACACCTCCCAACAAAGAAAAGCCCAGTACCAGATGGCTTTAAAGGTGAATTCTACCAAATATTTAAAGATGAATTAATATCAATCCTTCTTAAACTCTTACAAAATATAGACGAAGAGGGAACACTTCCAAACTCATTTTATGAAGTCAGCATCATCCCGATATCAAAACCAGACAAAGGCATGACAAAAAAGAAAATTACAGGCCAATATCTGTGATAAAAATGGAATCAAAAATCCTAAACAAAATATTATCCAACCGAATTCAACAGCACTTTAAAAGGATTATATACCATGATCAAGTAGATTTATCCTGGGATGAAAGGACGATTCAAAATATGCAAATCAATCAATATGATACACCACATTAACACAATGAAGGACAAAAATCACATGATCATTTCAATAGATGCAGAAAAAGCATTTGACAGAATTCAAAACTCTTCCACGATAAAAGCTCTTGACAAATCAGGTATTAGAAGGAACTTACCTGACCATAATAAAGGCCATATGTGAAAGGCCTACAGGGAGCATAATACTCAATGGTGAAAAAGTGAAAGCTTTTCCTGTAGGATTTGGAAAAAGGAAAGTGTGCCCACTTTCACCACTTCTATTCAACATCATACTGGAAGTCCTGGCCAGAGAAATTAGACAAAAAAGGAAGAAAAAAAATTATCCAAATTGGAAAGGAAGAACTAAAATTATCTTTGTTTGCAGATGGCATGATCTTACATGTAGAAAACCCTAAAGCCTCACACACAAAAACACCTGTTAGAATTAATAAATGGATTCAGTAAAGTTGCAGGATAAAAAAATTAATATACAAAAATCAGTTATGTCTCCATACAATAGCAATAAATTATCTGAAAAAGAAATTTAGAAGACAATCCCATTTTCAATAGCACCAAAAAGAATAAAATACTTAGGAATAAACTTAACCAAGGAGGTGAAATATACGTACACTGAAAAGTATAAAACATTGATGAAAGATAATAAGAGACACAAACAAATGGAAAGACATTCTTTGTTCATGGATTGGAAGAATTAGTATTGTTAAAATGTCCATACTACCCAAAGTGATCTACAGACTCAATGCACTTCTTATCAAAATCCCAATGGCATTTTTTACAGAAATAGAAAAAAAAATTCTAAAATTCATATAGAACCACAAAAGATCCCAAATAGCCAAAGCAATCCTGAAAAAGAAGAACAAAGTTGGAGGCATCATATTTCTTGATTTCAAAATATATTGTAAAGCTACAGCAATCAAAACAGTATGGTACTGGCATAAAAACAGACATACAGATCAATGGAACAGATAGACAGGCCAGAAATAAACATGCATATACCATCAACTAATCTTTGACAAGGGTGCCAGGAATACACCATTGAGAAAGAACAGACTCTTTAATAAACGGTGCTGGGATAACTGTATATCCACATGCAAAAGAATGAAATTGGACCCTCATCTTACACCCTACACAAAACTCAACTCAAAATGGACTAAGACTTAAGTGTAAGACCCGAAACTGTAAAACTCATAAAGGAAAACATAGAGAAAAAGCTTCTTGACATTAGTCTTGGAAAAGATTTCTTGGATATGACACCAGAAACATAGGCAACAAAAAGAAAAATAGACAGGTGGGGATACAACAAACTGAAAAACTTCTGCACAGCAAAGGAAACAATAAGCAATGTGTAAAGACAACCTATGGAATGGGAAAAAATATTTGCAATCTATACATCTGATAAAGGGTTAATATTCAAAATACATAAGGAACTCCTACAACTCTATAGCAAAAATCTAAATAACCTGATTAAAAAATGGATAAAGGACCTAAATAGACATTTCTTCAAAGAAGACATTCAAATGGCCAACAAATATATGAAAATGTACTCAACATCACTAATTATCAAGGAAATGCAAATAAAACCCATAATGAGATAGCACCTCATACCTTTTAGAATGGCTATTATCAAAAAAAAAAAAAAAAGAAAAAATGATAAGTTTTGGCAGGGGTTGAGAGAAAAGGGAACATTTGTGCACTGTTGGTGGGAATATAAATTGGTACAGCCATTAGGGAAAACAGTATGGAAGTATGTCAAAAAAGTAAAAATAGAATGACCATATGATCCAGCAATCCAACTTCTGAGTATATATCCAAAGACATTGAAATCAAGATCTCAGAGATATATCTGCATCCCCATGTTCTCTGCAGCATTATTCACAATAGCCAAGGCATGGCAGCAACCTTTATGTCCATCAAGAGATGAATGGATAAAAACAATGTACTGTATATATATATATACACACACACACACACACACACACACATGCAATGGAATATTATTCAGCCATGAGAAAGAAGGAAATCCTGCCATTGGTGACAACGTGGATGAACCTGGAGGACATCATGCTAAGTGAAATAAGTCAGACACAGAAGGACAAATTCTACGTGATACCTCTTACGTTAGGAATTTAAAAGTCAAACTCATAAAAGCAGAGAGTAGAATAGTGGTTGCCAGGGGCTGGAGGGAGGGGAAATGGGGAAGTATTAATTAAAGTATCAGAGTTTCAGTTATATAAGATGAATATGTCCTAGAGATCTAATGTACAGCATAGAGCCTAGAGTTAACAATTCTGTATTGTATACTGAAACATTTGCTAAGAGGGTAGATCTTATGTTAAATGTCCTTATAACAACTAATAATAATAAATAGAGAGGAAAGAGGAAACTTTTGGAGGTGATGGATAGGTTTATGGCACAGATTGTGATGATGGTTTCATGAGTGTATACCTTTCTCCAAACTCATCAAGTTGTATACATTAAATACGTACAGCTTTTTGTATGTCAATCACACCTTAATAAAGTCTTTATTTTTTAACCAAAAAAAAAAAAAAACCAGTTAAAAAAACTCTACATGCTTAAAATAACAAAATTGTTTTTATTTCAAAATTTCTGTGTTCAGGAATCTGTGGTGTAGCTTAGCTGGGTCCTCTGCCTAAAGGTCTCTCAGGTGGATGCAACCAAGGTCTTGGATGGGGCTGCAGTGTCATCTGAAGGCTTGACTGGGAGAGGATTCTCACTGAACCTCACTCACAAGGTTGTGCCAAGACTCTATTCCTCATGAGCTACTAGACTGGGGGCTTCAGTTCCACACTGACTACTGTCCAGTGGCCTCCCTCCATTCCTTGCTATGTGGGACTCTCCATAGGTCAGCTCATGGCATAGCAGTTGGCTTCCTTCAGAACAAGCGAGCAAGAAAGCAAGAAAGCGTGAGCAAAACAAAACTCACAGTCTTTTTGTAACATAATCTCAGAAGCGACAGGGGGCCAGTTTAGAGGCTGCCTACTTCAAATAGTAAAAATGTTTCTGGCACTTACCACCAGTTCAATTTAACTCTGCGTCATCAGTCACAAAAGGAATGCATTTGTTAACATATTTTTCTGCTTGGGTGCTCTTTGAACAGTGCATTGCATTAAGTAGAGTTCAACAAACATATGCTGATTGACTGGATAACATTTCAATTTTACTGAAAAGAAAGTCCAATCTTAAAAGAAGGTAGTAATGTTCTCCAGCAGATATTGCTTCCTGAGTACCTGTAACTATTTTCCGAATTGAAATTGCCAAAGAAAATAGCTAACTTGTGTATCTTATGTTAAAACACAAATCTATTTATTGGAGTGGGTATCAAAGTTGCTGTTTAGACAAATTTGACATTTCTTTTATTTCTCAAAACTCAAATATCACAGTACACAAAAGGCTCTGAAGAAAAGTGCCATAAGTTGTCTTGTTTCTATACTTTTCTGGTGTCATGTTTAGTTGAATCTTAGAAGAAGGCTGTAATTGAAACGTCTTCAAGATACAGAGCATGACGACAAGATAAACAGTCAAAACTATATTAAAAGAAACATATCCCTTTTTATATCTGGTGTGGAAATGAAGCTGTGATGTTCTTCTCAGACTGCAAACTGACAGTCTAAAATTATACAGTATCCTGCATGTGCCTTTTATATATTCTCTGTCAATAAAAAACAGTTACTGTTATCTACATTTCATGTATGACTTTCATAACTCATTTAAACTCATCTAGTAAAAGAGCAAATGTGTTTGGATAGTTACTAGAAAGGTTTGGTACCTTCCAACAACTACATTTTTCTTGTTGGAGGCAAATAAGCATCCAGAGATCTTATCATAGAAATATCTCAGTAAAACTTCAATTTACCAGAACTCTCAGTCCTCTGGATGCGTACTTCCGCACTCTACTTTTAAGAAAAGGAAATAAGCCAAAGGGAAAATTGGACATCAGGGCTTTCAAAAAAAACCCACAAACACTAATTTCCTTGGATTACTATATATGTTTGTTTCTCACTCAAACTACACCGCCCCCCCCCCCCCCCCATAACAGGCCAGCCTCTTCTCTGCTCCATGATATCTCCATCCTAGGACCCAGCATGAAGGAGCTGTCTGCCCTGGCACACTGCTGGAAAAGAGAAGAGGATGGATTGTGTGACAGAACCTAAATATTTCTCTGAGAAATCACGTATCCCTTTGCTCACAGTTCATTGGCTTAAGCAAGTCCTATGGCCAAGCCTGAGGTCAGTCGAGTGGAGAAATACAATCTTCCCAATGCAAGAGGCAGAGAATATTTTGAACAATAATATAACTCACCTTACACACTTAAAGGATGTGATCGAGATGATTATACTGGTTCCGTGTGATTACTGACAATTTAAAATGGTCATCCAGGGGCCGGCCCAGTGGTGTAGTGGTTGAGTTAGTGTGCTCTGCTTCGGTGGCCTGGGGTTCATGGGTTCGGATCCCAGGTGCAGACCTGGCACTGCTCATCAAGCATCCTACATAAAGTAGAGGAAGATTAGCACAGCTGTTAGCTCAGGGCCAATCTTCCTCACACACACACTAAATAAATAAAATGGTCATTCAACCCACTGGAAGGGGCATTTTTCAGCCTGGTTTCACTGTTTTAGTTCAGACCTGACTCAGTTTCCCTTGCAATCCTAATTCTCCTGTATCTTTTAGACACATAGCACTGTGATGTTCACTGATGCAATGTTCAGAAACGTGTCCCTGTGGTAAGAACCCCAATCATCCCTTATGTGAGAATCAAGAAGCACAATTACGGAGAGCCTATTGGCTCAGTGCCCTCCTGGGGGCTTTAGTCAATCTACTCAGCAAGTGAGTGAGGAGGAAGATAATTCTCATTTTACTTGTGAACAAACTGACCCAGAGAGTTTACACAAAGTCACATGGCCAGCAAGGGGTGAAGCTGGAATTTGAAATCACCGTTTTGAACTCAGAATTCTGGCAAATTAAGCTAGAAGGACAATGACTACATTTTGGACATTCCACAAGCAAAAAGGAATTTTTGCCAACCATTCATTAGCCAGAAAACAAAATGACCATGTTCCCCACAGACTCTTCCATGGCTCAAACCACTAAGCTGTTCACTGAAAAAATTAGAGTAGTATTTGTTTCTTTTTGCACAAAGCACTGGGAACACACAGAGCACATTGTCTAAAAGCATAATTGTTCAGAGTGGATGGCTGAAGAGGAAGCAAAAGATCTAAGATCCCAAAGCACAGCTAAAGAACACGTAAAGAGTCCAGATCCGGGTTTCCCAGGGAAAGGTGAACAGACAGGAAAAAAAAAAAGAAATTAGTTGCAACAAAGGTACATATTAACTGATGAATTTATTTAAGGGATTTAGAGAGGAGAGTAGGCATTTAATAGGAATTTCAGACTTTTGTTTTGCTGTTGTTCTGCATGAATTAGGAATACTGTCTGTGCATTCAACTCCCTTTTAGTGTTCAAAACAATTGAGAGGTAGCCTTCTTATGTTATCTTCTGGGAGTTTTACAGTTTTGATCACTTGGGTCTATGATCATTTAGGTCTATTACCCATTTTGAGTTAATTTTTGTGAAGGGTGGAAGTATGTCTGTGTCTAGATTCATTTTTTTGCACGTGGATGTCCAGTTGTCCAAGTACTATTGATATCAAATCTGAAGTGAGTTCACTCACCCGTTACACAGCAAGCCAATCTCTGACACCGGGTGCAGTGGAAGAAAGCAGGAATTTTATTATTACACAGCACTGAGCAAGGAGAAAGGGCAGCTAATGCTGAAATCCCAAACTCCCCGAAAACCTAAAAGTAAGGGTTTTTACTTGGGGTTTTAGGTAGGGGAGGGGGAGCATATGACCTTGCTGGTCGGAGCTTTTCCACCACCCTGTGTTTGGCCTTGAGACTACTTGCAGAGAGGAAGAAGCCTGTGACCTTGCTAGTCAGCAGCTTTTCTACCAGCCTGTAACTGCTTTTCGGGAAGGGGAAGGGGGGGGGGTGGAGATAATGAATCCAGGTATTTCTCCTTGGCCATTTGTCTCCCTGGCTCCATGGCTGGACAGTGGATTCTGGAGCCAGGAAGCCGGGGAGTAAGCAGGGAAAGAGTGCTTTGGTTTTAACCCCATATATGTTGGGTTTAATGTAGGGAAATCAATATCAGGGCTGGTATCACTATTTGTAGAAAAGACTATGTTTTCTCCCTTGTGTTGTCTTTGCTCCTTTGTCAAAGATCAGTTGACTATATTTATGTGGATCTACTTCTGGGCTCTCTATTTGGTTTCATTGATCTATTTTTCCACTCTTGCCAATATCACACTGCCTTGGTTACTGTAGCTTTGTAGTAAGTCTTGTAGTCAGGTAGTGTCAGTCCTCCAATTTTGTTCTTCAAATTATATTGGCTATTCTGGGTATTCTGTCTCTCCATATAAACTTTAGAATTGTTTTATTGATATTTACAAAATAACTTGCTGAGATTTTGACTGGAACTCTACTGAGAACAACTGACATCTTGACAATATTGAGTCTTTCTATCCACGAACATGGAATAGCTCTCCATTTATTTAGTTCTGTTTTGATTTCTTTCAGCAGACTTTTCCTCATATAGATCCTGTACACATTTTGTTAGAGATATCTAACCATGTGTGTGATTCACCTTGCAAATAGATCCTCCAGCTGCAGTCACATCCAGCTTCAGGTGATTGCAGTTTTGGCCGACATTTGACTACAATGTCATGAAAGTCTTGGATCATAACCTAAGCTGTTCCCAAATTCTTGCCCATAGAAACTGTGAGAGATAATAAATGTTTATGAATTTATGTAAGGAGAGTTAGAGAGATTAGGCTTTTGCATAAGGAATTTCAGACTTTTGTTTTGCTGCTGTTCTGCATGAATTAGGAGTACGATCTGCACATTCAACTCCTTCTGGGGTTCAAAAGGCCTGAGAGAAGATGGCCTTGCTATAGGTAAGGGTGGCAGCAGGATGGCACTTGGGCTAGGAAAGAACTGGTCTAGGTAACTAGAATAAAGGAAATTCTAAGTTTTAACCTCCTTTAGCAGATTTTTAATGATTCTGCAACTATACATTGCCTAGTGTGGTATAGGGGAAAGAGCATACCTTGGAGCCATATAATCTGGAATCAAATCCCACTTTAGCCATGTCTACTACATGACCTTAGGTAAGTCTCTTAACTTCGTTGAACCTCAGGATCCCATCTGAAAAAAAAAAAAAAAACACAAAAAACAGGATAATTGTGATGATTAAATGGTATACCTATCTATACCTGTACTGATATCTATATTTATGTCTATAGCTATAAATATATCTATATCTGCATCTGGACTTGTATCTATGTCTATGTTTATCTATCTATGTCTATGTTTATCTATCTAGTGCTTAAGAGGTGCTCTATGAATGTTAAGTGCCTTCTCCCCTGCTGTATTAATCAATTTATTAATTTAACTAAGATTTACTAAGTGTTTGTTTCAAGCCAGCATTATGCTAGTTTCTGGCGATGATGAAAAGGTGATTAAGTCTGAGACACTGTCCTTGAGAAGCTAATAGGAGAAACGGACATACAGACCACATGATTCCAGGTACGACACGGTTTGACAGTTAGCTGAGACTGCTGGGTTCAGGCACTGTCAGCTTGTTGGACTTGTGGTTGATGACCTGACCTGTCATTGAATCACATAATCCACTAAGGGGTTTCCTTTAGGGTTTTAATAGTGTAAGTTGCCTGGTAACAAATTCTAATTTTCTTTTATGTCAAAACATCTTTATTTCACTTTTGAGGAATATTTTGTCTGTATATAGAAGTCTGCATTAAAATTTTCTTTCTAAATCTAAAAATATATTGCCCTAATATTTCCTGGTCTTCACTTTTTCCTGACAGGAAGTCAGCAGTTCTTTGAATCACTGTTTACATATATGTAAGGTATCATTTTTTTCCTGTGGCCGTTTAAGAAATAGGTCTCTGCAAATGTTTTGATACTCCTTACTTTAAGAGGTGGAGCCTAATTCCCCTCCCCTTGAATGTGGTCCAGACTTAGAGGCTGGATTCTAATGAACAGAATATGATGGAAGTAATGCTGTGTGACTCCCAAGACTAGGTCATAAAAATGTAGCTCAGAGCTCATATAAGGAGCTTCTATTTGGCTCTCTCTCTCTGTCTTGTTCAGAGGGAGGTTGCCCACTATATCACAAAGACCCTCAAGCAGTCTAAGTGAAGGATCCACATGGAGAGGAACTGAGGCCTCCCACCACCAGTGCCAACTGCAAGCCACGTGAATGATTCCCTTGCAAATAGATGCTCCAGCTGCAGTCACATCCAGCTTCAGGTGACTGCAGTTTTGACCGACATTGGACGACAATGTCATGAAAGTCCTGGACCATAACCTAAGCTGTTCCCAAATTCTTGCCCACAGAAACCGTGAGAGATGTTTATTGTTGTTTTAAGCCACTAAAATTTGGGGTTATTTGTTAGGCAGCAATGGATAACTCATACATTTCCTAACTCAAACGTCTCTTCACGTTAGAGTCACTCTAATTCCCTAATGCTTCAATCCACTTTGTGTGCGTAAAAGAAAAAAAATATCGTAAAATCCAAGATGCAGCACCCCTGAAAAAACGTCTATGGAAGAAAATTAGTCATCTGTGGTAAAACCAGTCTGTTTTAAAACACCATTTTGTCTCTCTGGTTCACTTTGCAGCCTGAGCACCTTGTATACTACTTGGTATGTAATAAGACATTAAATAAATATTGCTTTATGAATGACCAAACAATTTGCTCCTCCAGGCTCTAAGCTTCTGGATGGCAAAAAGAGTGCCTTATTCATCCTTATATCTCCCTCACACGGTACAATGCTTAACACTGAACACACACCATTCGTTATTTGTTGAATTAAATCAAACTTAACTGAAATTCTTGTTGAAGTTAATGATCTGGAAACACAAGTGAAAAATCATGGCAGAAAACTCATTTTAAACATTTATACTGCACATTGACTAATGCTGATTTTCAAGCCCCACCAACTATCACTCAAAAAAACTAGCAAAAACCCCCAAAATTCTAAACGTATACCTGAGGTTCCTAGTAGGCCATATGGGTTTTCATAATTTCTACCAATAGAACACATCTTCAAATGTTTCTAGAGAATCTTTATGAAACAGTATACAATGATGGGTTTTGTGCTCAGGTTGTAAACTGTTGTAAGGTGTTGAATTTGGCAGATTATCTGCAAGGCTTGGTAACCTGTTTTCCTCCTTATCCAATTGAGCCTTGAGCCATTTCATTAGAGCTGAATTTTATGAGCACAGGGAGTTTGAACACTCACTCATGCAACACGTAAATTGAGAAACTTCCTTTTCTCTTTGGGAGGTAGTGTGCATCCAGGGTATGTCCCCGTGGTTTGGAGCACTGACTTCCCAGGTGCAAATCCTCAGACAATCACTTACCAGTTTTGTGATCTTTGGCACACAGCATAACCTCTACCTTAGTTTCCTCATCTGTACAATGCAGAAACTAACAGCACCCACCTCACAGGGTTGTTAAGATAAAATGGGTTAATACTTGAAAAGTGCCTGGCACATAGTAAGCACTAATAAAAAGTAGCTCTTTTGCCTTCGACGCCTGTCACAGACCTGGAACACTGCAGGTGACTTGTAAATCTTTACTGAACTAATGAATAACTCTAAGATGAGAGTACTGAATAAGCATCTCTGCCACCTTTTTTGGCGATGGGGGAGGGATGTAATTGCATTCTCCGATCACACACGTTTTTTTTACTCCTTTTCAGAAATTCTCCATTAGATCAAAAAGAGGCAGCTGATTGTGTTTATCGATAGAGGATATACACGTAATACTGGCACACGTTTACATTTACACTGAATTGGGAATTATAAAACAACACACTTTCGGGTAAGAGGAATTTTTATTTTTCATTTGAGCCCCATCATAAATGTCAAAGTGGCAGAAAGGATCAAGTATAGAGGGGAGCACGAAGTTTCTGAATCCCAAGCACCTTCTGCACTGCTGGGCTTATGGAAAAACCATTTTTTTCTAACTCACCAACAGGGCCAACCTTCTCCCACTTGACTGGGGGAACACCTGAGAGAGGTAAGGGGCCTAATTAGACCGTATATCCCCAACACTTGCCACAGTGCCTGGCAGATGGTAGAAAGTAACAAAAAACTTATTTTAAAGAGATAAAGTATTAAATAATCAAGGCAACCGGACAAATATTTGTGACAAAATATTCTACCTTTGGTCTCAAACCTTGCATCTGTACCTCAACTTCCACCTACTGGTTGGGCCCAAGCCTTCCCCTTAGAATGACACTGCAAGGAGCAGGAAAAGTGATCCAGTTGAAACTTTTCAGAGTGATGGGAACTACCTCCTTCGTTTGTTGCTAAAGAACGGAAGAAGGAGGGAGACGAGGCTGGGAGACAGGGAGCGCCTCCGAGTGGCGGAGCAATAGCCGCGTCCCACTTGGCGGGGGTCCCGCCAGTTCCGCTAGTTGTCCCCGCCTCTGCCCTTCCCCCCGGGAATTCTAGCCCCGGGAAACAAGGCGCTGGCGATACATGCCTGGAAGGCTGGCACCGGCATCTCTCAGATGGGCCCAGGGCGTCCCGCCGCCGCCGAAACAGAGCTTCCCGCGGGCCCCGCAGAGTCCCAGGCAGGGCCGGGATCTGGCCCCCAGCCCCGCGTCACGCGCGCGGCTTCCCCGGGGGCGGCCAGAGCGTGCGCGTGCCGGAGGAGGCCCCCGCCGCCCGCCAGCTGCTGGAAGACCTCAGGCGGCGGCTGGCGAGCGCCTTCCAGCGGGCGGCGGCGCGCGAGCAGCAGAGCCGGGCGTGCTTCGAGGGCGCACTGGGCCGGCTGAGCGCCGAGCTGGTGAGCGCGCGCTGGGGGCGGCCAGCTCCGGGGCTGCCCTCCGCTTGGTCCTGGCTCCTGCTCCAGAGCCGGGGCTGCGTGGCCCACCTCAAGACTTGAGGGGCGGAGAGGAGCTGTTCCCAGGGAGGGAGAGTATGAGAGCGTGCAGCGAGGAGGAGCTGGGCCATCGATCTTCCCGGGAAGGCCAGCTAACATCCCGACAGGATGCTGACGCCGCCACCTCCCCAGCAGCATCTGGGAAGGAAGGGGTCCTGCGGCACCCGCGGTGCTGGCGCCTGTGGGGAGCTGAGTCTACTAGTGACGCGCCCAAGACTCCAATAACCCTTTTCCAGTTTGTTCTCTATCTTTCCACCCTATAGAAAGTTGCCTCTAGGGAACTCTTAGTATGTGTATGTATGGCGTGTGGTGGAGGAAATTTCAATGAAATAAACTCTCTCATAGGATCGATGGAGCAAGTCTATCAGCAACCCTTTCTTTTATTCCGAAAGTTTTAGTCTTATCTTTCCCCTTGTGAAGATTTCAGAAAACAGGAAATAACAAGCTATTTTTTACAATAAGATATTTTGTCTCTTTTAAACATTAGGCAGGTTAGGTCCAAATGTTAAACTGGAGGGAATGCATAGGTAAAGATTTTAGATCACCGTTTTTTAATCTAAATAATTTCCAAATAGATAAAATTAGAACAGGACAAAATGAAGAAGAGCCATTCAAAGTTTAAAATGGTGCTGCCCATGCACGTGTATAACAGATTTAACTTGGAAAATTTTGCTCTTTTTCATTGAATACAGATAAAATATTAACCACGACTTTAGAACTGATTCAGCCCTCAGTAAATTGTCTGATTTAAGAACCTTAGAATATTTATCTTGTTTCGGAGTTTGAGATGGGCAATAAGGGCAAAAATGTAATTTTATCCGTGTTAATTTGAATTTGACAAGGGATGAATTATCTCTGACGCAACCATATTGAGGAAACATGTGGTTTTCTTCTGGCATCTGAGCAGTTCGATAGCGGAGAGCCGTCCTTAGCGGAGATACAGCCTGGAGGGGTGTGCTGGGGGTCAGCACCTCAAACTGGAAGGCTGAGACCTGGCTCAGCCATCTCTGTGCTGCTGACCTGGGATGTCACTACCCTCTCTGTGCCTCAGTTGACTCCTTTTTAAATCAAATGAAGAGATTATGTAGAATAAACTCTGAGACACCTTCCAACCATTCTAACAAGTCATTTTACAAGTAGGAGTTTTAGGCAAGCAATACCTATTGGGGTGGGGAGGAGGTGGAGAATACGATTGCAAACAGATGAGAGTTCATATCCCAGCGTTAACGTTTA